TATGTATATATATATATGCATTATACGTATATATATAATTATATATATACACACATACCAGGTACGTAAGTGGTGTGTGTACATATAAATATGAATGTCTATATATATATATATACATACACACACCTTTATGTGTCACTTCTGGCAGGTTGTCAAAGAAAGCGGCCTGTGGCGTGTTCAGGCGCTCGTTGAAACCTCAACAGGAGGCACCACAGGGCCCACGGGCTGTTAAGTAAAGAGTGGTGCTGGAGTTCCTGTCCGCCAGTGCTCAGTAGGAGTCCTTGTCAGAAGGAGCAGAACAGTTGTTCAAGCGCCATTGTGTACCCAACAGTCGCTGAGTCATCGAGCGAGTGCAATGTGCGCAGAAGCCTGTCAAAGCCCAGGGGTGCTCTGAAGATCCTGTAAAGACGCGTTTGAATCCGAAGGGCTTGGTTACTTCTCATGGTGCTGGGGATGCAAATCATGGGCTGTTGAACAGCTGCAGAACCTAAAGATGTGGACGGTGTGGAGCTGCTTCGTCCTTCAATCGTTTGAGGTGTGAGCCCTAAAATGCCTTGACTATGGATGAACATGTTTCAAGGGATGGGCGAGACTTGGCAGGGGTGGCCTTTCATGCCACAGTGTTCCCTTGAGCTCCGCGACTAATCATGTGCAGGCTAGCTGCATCGATCTCGAAGACGACGAGGAGGCTTCAAGAGCTAGCGATGTGGAGCACATGTAAGGCCAACGATCTAGATCCTATAAGCTCCAGCCCCGAAAGCAAGCGCTGGTGGAACGTGCGGCTTCACAGCTTTGGCCCGCGACAGTGGGCAGCTGACGACCTGGAAACCCGAGCGCCTGTGCTCAGAAACACCAGGATCACAAAGGCAGAGGAGAAGCCGGGCAGACCGAGTCGACGATGTGAGCCACCGCCACAACTTTGCGAAGTTCCGGAAAGGATCTGCAGCTGAGGGGTACAGGAAACTGGCAGATATGTTGCTCTCGAAGAGGGAGATTGGAAATTTGAAGATGCCACCAGCCTGCCACGAGCAACAAAACTCGGAGGAACTTGCGTGATCTTGGATGCTCAGTGCAATCAGCTCATCTGCAGAATGAAGACATGCAAAGCTGTCATCTATGACAGACTACGTGCGCCCAAGCTTCCGGCGCCGACCTTGTAGAGCTTGCAGTGTAGTCGACTGCCGCAGGGGCGAAAATGACAGCTGCTGCTTTGTGAGCGGCTGGACACATTGTGTCTGGCACAGTACTCAGCCCTGTTAGATGAGGACCGCTAGAACTGCTGAGCCACGAGTCAGTCACTAGCCAGGATGAGGCCTGGTCATCGTGGCCTTGACATCTCACATAAAATACTTACTTAAAAATCTCACCCTTATAAAGAGCTGTATAAAGCCTCCTCTGGTGAGAAGCTAGAGCTGCAACCCTGTTCGACACTCCTCGTTTTGAGAGGGTTAGAGCCTATCTCCAAACCTTTGGCCCAGGCCGCCTGGTCGCAGCCTGGCGCAATCTCGCGAGCTCTGGCTTCGTCTTCGTAGAGTCTATCAGGCAGGGCTTTGAGGTTTTGAGGATTTCGGGCTTAGGGTTTAGGGTGGGTTTTCTGGATTTCTAAGGAGCCCCAAGTATGAGGACTTGACATTTCTCCAACGGGGTCAGGGTGTTGGAATCTCGCGATTGGGGTGAGGAATCTCTAATTCAATCGACGGCGGCGGCATCTTCAAACCACGTGTATCTCCTCCACCTAATGCCCGGCAATATAGGGCGGGACTTTCCGAAAATTAGGGTACCTTATTTTGGGGGTCCTTATAATAAGGATCCTACTAAATTTAGGGTACTATATTAGGGTCCCCTATTTTTGGTTCCCCCCAGGCCGGGGAGCCGACGCTAGATTTTTCAACCAAGCCCAAACTGCACGTGCGAGGAGCTCTGGCTCGAAGCGGGAGCTACTGCCGGCCGTGTGTTGCGAACCTAGACCTTGACTTTCCGTTGAGGAATTTGGGTAGTTCTCCAAATCAGGGTTTCTTTTTGGGGTCCTTTTAAAAAGGGTGCCATACTCCATTGGAGACTTAAACAGGGACCCTAATTTGGAGAACTACCCATGTTGCAGTCAAGTCAAAGGGTATCTTTGTTTGGAGCTTTGATCTCCTTGGCTTCTCGGTGTGCCGCGGCTGGGGAAAGTCAGGGGGCTGTCCCTTCCAGCATGCGGCCTTGGCATCTGGGTTTCGTACGGTTTAGGGTTGAGGGGCTGCTTGTTCTCCTTGGCGGCCATCGCTCTGGTGCCTGCAGCCTTAGTTCGCGGCAGTTGTGGGAGTTCTTTTAGTTTTAAAGTTGTGTGTCCTGTGCCGTTCAGCCTACCTAAATGGTTCCGCCCAGTCTCCTGGGCCAGATGGTAATAGTACCCAAGTCGCTGAGGTCCAAATCTTTGGAAAGGATTGAAGAACTGGCTGAAGCGCACCTCCAGCGTGAGTACGCCCGGCGAGACTTAACAGTCGGAGCTCAAGGCAGCTCAAGTCGTAGATATCCAAAGTCTGGAGCTTGATGGAGCTCGACATGGCTTTTTGCCGCTGATGTTGCTAGGTGGGAGAGTTGGAACCGTGCCAAGATGGCCGCCGAGGACTCTTTTGTGAACAGAGGGGAAGGAGGGATAGGGTGAAGGCGAGCTGCTTTGCTTGCGAGACTTATCTAGGCCTCACTGGACCCTTGCTACGGCATCTTCAGAACTCCCTTGGGTGAATGTGGCACAGGAGTTGCTTTCCTAAGCCGCAATGGCAGGGGCTTGCTTGTCGCTTGTCGCTTCTGCCCATCGGGATTCTGGCGTTGAACCTATTGCAACACATGCTGTGTGCGGCACAATGCTTCTCGATCTCTTCTCAACACATATACACATACACACACACACACACGGGAATCCGGAACTCAAGAGAGACACATGGCGAGGAGCGAGCGCAGCGACGAGTGTTGCGGCGTGAGCAGCAAGAAAACCAACGGATGGCCAAAGAGGACGTGGTTCAGCTTTCTGGGCAAGAGAGTCTGGCACATGTCTCTGGCCTCCTCCAACCGAAAGACACAGTCCGTCCTCTTGGGTTTGCGACATGTAGCTTCTTCTGACAACAGGAATCGAGGTCTTGGTTGGCAACATGATTTGCGGAGTCCGAGTCAATAAAGAGCTCTTGCTGCAGCCACTGGCATCATGGACTTGATCAGGACCGTGAAGCATCGGCTTTCTGCCGCCGCATGCAGAAGGGAGCTGCACAGGAGGCTTGCCCTCACACTAGAAGGGTATGAAAGTGCCGAAGAAGTTCTCTTTTGACTACTTAGCTGTTGTACCAGAATGATGGCCAGTTTCAGTGGTCAGACAACGATTATGGGTCAGAGCAACACTATTGATTGGCAGCGGTGAGAGTAGCAGCAATGGCAGCTCCGATTTGATTAGCAGAAACAACAAAGCCACTAGATATACATTGCACATTCGGACTAGAAGCAAAAGCAACGTTTCAATCAGCAGTCATTGATAAGTGGAACAGGTCCAAATGCCATGAACAACCAGGTAGAATGACAAACCAACTGCTCAACAATAAGCGCGACCATCGTTGCAGAAGAAGAATTAGGGTTTAGGGAATCATCATCGTGGTCATCATCATCATCATCATCATCACTGCAACACTGCTCGCAACCAGAAAGAGAACCACAAAGAAGGCAATGACTGCAACAGATGTAATCGTGGCAACAAGAGTGTAACATGAGTATTGATCATGGTAGTCCTCCGCATGATCACCATCTTCAGCATAGCCATGATCGTCAGCATATGTGCATGGGTCCGCTCGATCATACATACCGGTATGCATGGTCTACTTGCCTACATTGGGCCTACATAATAGAGAGATCCAGACAAAGACAAGCACGTGTGTCTGTCTCTCTGCCTCTCCGTCTGCCCGTCTGGCTGCCTGTCCATCTATCGATCTATCTATCGGTCTATCTATCTACCGGTCTATCTGAATCTATCTACTTATCATTACTTATCCGTCTATATCTATCTATCTGTCTTGTCTATCTATTTGTTGTTTTATCTACCTTGTCTGTCTCATCTGTCTATCTATCTATCTATCTATCTATCTTGCCTGTCTTACCTATCTATCTATCTATCTATCTATCTATCTACCCATCTATCTGCTTATCTGCTTACCCATCTGTCTTTCTATCGTCCGCTTAAGTGCGATCTCCTATCATCAAAGAAGTGGTGATGGACACTATGAAGTCGATACGTTCGAGCAGCTCACAGTCTTAGCACCGTCCTTAGCAGGATGTAAGTGCATTGGTTGTTGAGTACTCCGTTCTTTCGTCCAGGCCACGATCCTCCGCAGGCTGGACAAGCTCCTGGCAAAGTGGCCGGGGGTCTCAGAGGGAAACGTCTGACCACGTGTACCCAGACAGTCACCAGTTCTTAGTAGAAGGGCTTTCGTGGCAATACATAGCGTCAACTGCGCCGGGAAAAGCCAAAGCACGGCCGAAATGAGGAGTCCAACAGCAAGGGCCTGGACACGATCGTGTGGAGGCCTTCATCTTCCAGCGGCGCTTCCATTTCAGCTTATGAGTATTGGCAAAAATAGTACATTATCATCTGGACTATTGGTATGATTATTGCATATGTTTACTATTGCCATTCCATTGTTGGTAAGATTATTCAGATGTTTAGGGTTTAGGGGGTTTTGGGGGTTTAGGATTTAGGGTTTAGAGCCCCCCCGCCCCTGCGCGTTTCAGGACGGCGGCTCTCTGCCTCGAGCCTCAAAGCACTGTCCACGGAGGCTGCCCGCGGTGTCTTCTGGCCTTTGGCTGCTAGAGGTTTCGCGTTTTGGAGTGTTGGTTTTTGACAGGGAGCTTCTAGAATCTTCCTAGCTCCTTGGCCGGGTTTTGAAGAGGGAGACGTCCATGGGAATGTAGACTTCTTTCCGCTTTGGTCTGTGCCGGACTAGTCTTTGATTATGTCGCAGCTTGGACGAGCGCCGGACGAGAGCACAAAGGCCTAAAGCAATGCTTCTGCGACGGGGAGATTCAATCCGGCCCAGGCTCCCAAGAGGCAGCGGCCTTGCTGAACCTGGCAGCGGTGGTTTTCAGCGCAGAGGCGGTCGTAGTCGCCGCCAGTCGCGGAGCCAGCTTTCCGGTTCCGGGCAGAAGTGCTGTCAGTGAAAGAGGCCTGAAGCAGAGGCAGACGACAAAGACGTGCAAGCTGCAAAATCGGTCTGCAAACAGGCACAACCTTGGTGCTCTTTTCGTGCAGAGTTCGAGATCTGAGGAAAGAGCATAATCTGTAACCTGTGCTGCACGCTGTAAATCCCGAAACGAGTTTTCTGTGAACAGGTCTATAGTGGGTGGTGCGGCGGTAGCAAGATCTCCTGCTTCAGTTCAGAAAAGCTTGGGTCTTCAGTGTGGGACCCAAACAGCTCAAGAGCGAGCGACATGTGCTTATTGTGACTGCGCAGTTTTTTTCAGGCCCAGGAACAATAGTCTCCAAAGCCAGTGCACCGAAGCGCAACAGTCAGTGGCCACTTCCACTTCCACCTCACCAGCCCGAGAGGACTGAAAAGGATCGAAGCCCATGACCCCAAGCCCCGAACCCGGAGATCTTACCCGAAAACCCTCCATGGCGGCCTCTGATGCGGTGGAGTCAGGCACAGGTTTCACTGGCAGCATCGGATGTCTGGCAGCCGAGCCAGGATGAAAATAGCAGTTCTGCAATTCAGGAGAGGTGTCACGGGGTGTGTCGGACAGAGCCGAAGGTGCTTTACCTTCTCGCCCTCCCATGGCACGCGCCCGCGAGAAGGCAGAGATCCTGAAGTCGTGATCGGACTGCGGCGATTCCGGTTGACACCTTTCGAGCTTCGCTGAGCCCTTGTAAGGTCAGTGGCGATTTGCCTCACAGGCACCGTGTCAGTCAGAGTGAGGGAGCTGTTGCGCCTGGCAGGAGATGAGATACCTTCAAGTTTGTAAGGAAGTGAAGAAGTATGTAAGCAAGCAAGCGACTAAGCGAAGTGGCTGAAGGTGACTATAAAGGTAAATGGGAAAGTACGTAGGTTTGTCCCGGTCAGTCACAGTCTGCAAAAATGTTTGCCACATATCTCTCAAAAGAAGCACCTCTTGTCACAGAGTCTTTTTCCCACCTCCAGGCCACCTGCGCAGTGGGGCCGGACAGCCCGAGAATGTCGTCCGACCGCTGCAGCGCACGGTGCTGCGTGCCGCGGCCGCCAAGGATTTAAAGCCTTCAGGGACTTGGCCTCATTCTGGCGTTCACCTGGGAACGGGTGTTGCAGACTATGGTGATCCTCCATAGCTCACGACTTCCGCAAGGCCCACTTGCTGGAGCAGGCTACGACATCGACATCTTTGCTGTCACAGACGCCGGCGAGGCCAGGGAAACGGGCTTGCACAGAGTCCAGGGGTCAACGCTTGTGCGGCTTTGGGATGCCCTGACTGGGAGAGCATAGCGGTGCTTTCGCCACTTATCCTGCCCGAACAGCGAGGCAGTCCATTGGAAAGGGCTGATATGCTGTCGACTCAACACCCCGCCCCNNCCCCCCCCCCCCAAAAAAAAAAGGGTCCCCAACAACTCGATCAGACAGAGCTCATGCTTCTCAGGAGTGCTCCCGCACTGAAAGTACGCTGGCGGAGTTGGACCTCGCTGCGCTGCGCTGCGTGGACTTGGAGGCGAGGGAGCTGCTCCGGTAGGCCGCGGTAGGCCCAACCAAGGAACCGCCTTGAGCTCTTTCTGAGAGTTTGACCAAACAAGCTGACAGGAGCACGACGAGAAGAAGAGGCCTGGTGTTAAAAAAAGAGCCTTGAGTACTTAAAAGCACTGCAGGAATCGATTCATCCCCTCGCGAAAGGCTTGTACGCACCCCAAATGCTTTCGCCTGCACGGATTTTTCAGGAGGTTAGGACTGTCGTGTGCAGGCGAACTGCACGTGCTCTGCACGATACGACGGTTGCACAAGTCTAGGTTGAACTTGTGCGGAATGGTAGGATTGGTTTAGCAGCCCTCTGCGAAGCTTGTCACCTGTCCATGCAGTCCAATAGCTGAGCCGACCCACTCGACTTGCCTTCTGCCAGCGATGTAGGAAGGCTTAGGAAGGCACTCGGCCAGAGACCTGGACAAGTCAATCGAGTATTATACATTTTTGAAGTCATAAATCATAAAACCCTGCGCTGGGGAGGACTGCCGAGAGCGACTGGTTAGAGTTCGGACCAAGGACGGACAGTTCATGAGCTCGGGCTTTGGATGCATGATGATGGCTTGGTAGCAAGAAATTTCAACCGGGCTGCCAGACGAAGTGCCTCTCTCGAGTTGCCTTCATGCCTGAATAACTTGTGCTGAGGTGTGAGAGGACAAGGCTCAGGGTTACCGTGAAGGCTGCGAGTGGCTCCCTATCGTACCCTTATAGGGCTCCTTGCTCAACACCAGGACTGACTGGCCGCGCGGGTCGTTCCTGGGGCAGATGAAGAAGGCCGATTGTTTCCAGGCATGCACCAAACATTCATTGACAAAACTGCAGGGGCTGGGGTGTGAAACAGACGGACTGCGAATCACGGGACCATGCCCTGACAGGTTCAGATCTGTGATGAGCTCTTTGCGGCGACCGGCAAAGACTACAGGCCGACTCTTCAGGAAATAAGTAGCAATCTGTGCTCTGTGTGTGTTTGTGTCTTGACCCATCCTGAGCAGACGAAGTGGGTGCTCTGCTGTCCATGGAATGTCAATGAGTACTAGACGGTTGGGAGACTGTTTGAGAAGCCGGGGACACTTCTGCCCGTTGCATTATCGCTGTCATTCTTCTCTTGAATTCGTCGTGGTCACACCTCACTCAGCTTCTGCCCCTGTCCGCAGCTTGGTCAGCCGCTCGCGAATGGATGTCTTCTGGCACAGTTTTCCTGCAGATCCGGTGCAGCTGGAGCTTCCTGGTGCCGCTCACAGCATGCTCTGCATGTAAGTAGCTTAGTCGTAGCCCCAGCGAAGCCCTGCATATGAACGGGATTGTAACATTTCGGCATGAAGTGCCAGGTGCAATGGTTATGAATGTGCTTCCGTTAGACTTACGCCTTAAGCACGTTCCACGCGGCAAACCGCGCGGCTCCTAAATCCCTTGTTGTGACAAGTGCTTCCCCACTTTCGAGAAAGATTTGGGCACAGTGGTTTCCCCAAAAGTCTTTGAATTCACTCTCCTATATAGGTCTTGAAAACAAGTAGAGTGATTGTACAGCTTTCCGGCAGCTAGCTTTCGTCATATTAGCACATGAAGAATGCCAGCGACGCTTGCGATTTCGGACAGGAGTGATTTGGCTGCCGTGGCGGAGCGGCGAAGTCCATGCGCAATACATCGTGGACTCGTTTGCCATCGGTTCATACTCGGCTATGATGCCTGGTTGAAGCTACGTTCAGCCCACGGGGTTGAAGCCTGGAAGACAAGTTCGAGTTGAAGCTGGGTCGGTGCGAGACTCACTTCGGTGCCATGTGCTCTGTTTCAGTTTGACCTGTTGTTGGTCTGTTGCGAGGAAGCCCTACCTGCGTGTCTACGATGAGATGCTAGATCCAGGCCCGGAGAGCTCTTTGCTAGCTCTGACCGCCTATCGATTGGAGACGACTGCTTTCCGCAGAACTAAAGCTGCAGATTCGGACTGGCAGGTATTGGGATTGCAGATTCGTTGGTGTTGGGGCGACCGGAAAGTTACTGGAACAATGACGACTGAATATGATATGATGTGTATCTATATATATGTATATTCATATTTATTTATGTGGACACACGTGTATGTATGTGTATATATGTATATAGATACCGATACCTATGCACGAACATGTCATGTTGTATATGTATATCTGTATATGTATACATACATGCATGCATGCATGCATACATACATACATACATACATACATACATATATATATATATATACAACTA